GGAGAGGCCCGGATGGGGAGGGGGAGAGGTCGGGATGGGAGTCGGGAGGAGAAAGGTCGGCATGGATGGATACGGAAGGTCGGCGGCGATGGATAGCAAGGGGGAGAGGTCGGGATGGGAGTGGGGATAGACAAGGGGGAAGGAAAGGGGGGAGAGGACGGGATGGGGAGGGGGAGAGGTCGGCATGGGAATCAGGAAGGGGAGAGTGAGAGGCGATGGAAAGAGAGGTCGACGAAGGAAGGGAAGGAGGGAGAAGTCGGGATGGGAGTCGGGAGAGGTCGGGATGGGAGTTGGGAATGGAGAAGTAAGCGAAGGAAGGAAAGGGGGGAGAGGTCGGGATGGAAAGGGGAAAGAGAGAGGGCGGGATGGGAGTCGAGAGGAGATGGAGGCAGGATAGAAATAGATGAATAGAGGAGGTTGGAGGCGATGGATGGGAAGGGGGAGAGATCGGGATGGGAGTCTGGATATGGTCGGGATGAGGAGGGGGAGAGGTCGGGATGGGAGTCGGGAGGAGGGAGGGATGGAAGTCGGCATACGGGAAAGGAGGGAGAGGTCGGGATGGGGAGGGGAAGTGATCGGGATCGGAGTAGGAGAAGGGCGTCGGAAAAGGTCTTTTTTTTTTTTTTTTTTTTTTTTTTTGGCCGCCCACACCAGTGGTGCCACGTGGCACCCCACGTAAAGGAGGGCAGAAGAGGAGAGAGAACGACAGAAAGGAGGAGGGAGGAGGGATCTATGGAGAGAGGACGGGATAGAGGAGGGAGGAGGGATCTAGCACGAAGAACGTCAGGAGAGGACGGGATGGGAGTCGAGAATGGAGAGAGAAGTAAGCGAAGGAAGGAAAGAGGGAAAAGGTCGGGATGGGGAGGGGGAGAGGTCGGAGTCGGGAGGAGAAAGGTCGTGATGGACCGATAGAGGAGGTCCGAGGCGATGGATGGGAAGGGGGAGAGATCAGGATGGGAGTCGGGATATGGTCAGGACAGGAGTCGGGAGAGGTCGGGATGAGAGTCGGGAATGGAGGGAGAGGTCGGGATGGGGAGGGGAAGTGATCGGGATCGGAGTCACGGACAAGGGCGTTGGAAAAAGAAAAGAGGTCAGGATAGGGGAAAGGTAGAGATGATAGAGGAAAGGGGGGAGATGCTGGGATGGGAGTCGGGAGAGCTCGGGATAGGGGAGAAATAGACGCGATGAGGGGGAGCCGTTGGAAGACAAGAAAGAAAGAGAGGAATCAGGATACGGGAGACGGAGAGACAATGAAGGAACAGGTAGAAGAAAGAGAGCAGAAGAATAGGGATGGGCAGGGGGAGAGGTCGGGATGGGAATCAAGAAGGGGGAGGGGGACCATCCCGGGATAGAGGAGGGGAGATAGTGGTTGGGATAGGGGAGAGGGAGAGGCAACGAAGGGAAAGGTTGGGGAAGGATGGGAGGTCGGGATCAGAGTTGGGATACAGGAA